AAACATCTCGCGACGAGTTGACCGTGCCGCGAGTGACGAAGAAGAAGCAAACATGGCGACGGTTTGTGCGATTGCTTTGGTGGCTCCGGTGTTGAGTGTCTTCAACGTCCTAGTGAGAAGATTCCCCTGCCCTTCGAAGTTATTGCAAGCACCACGATTGGCACGAAAGATGTGGAATCATCGTCTCAACTACAAATAAGCAGGCCTTCACGAGAAACAACGATGCCGAGCAGGCACTTGGCACAGTTGTGCCGTCAGATGTTCTACAACGCCGAGGTATTTTCATTTATCATTTGGAATGGCTTCAAGAGTGGGAAATTAATCTATTTCGCGGATTGTTAGCGCCGAGGTGAGTGCCCTCCGTTGCAGTGCCATTGTCGCGCAAAGTGCAGAGAAAACCGGGTGGCGATGGCGGCGGTGCTCTTTGATCTTGCGCCGTCGGGTTCATGGAGTCCAGAGTAAACGTACGTATGTGCGTCTGCTGGATCGGTGTTTTGGACTGCCTCAAAACTCTTTCTCACGCGCATCTTCCTTGTGAAGCTTAGTAGCTCATTACACCTCGTCGTCGACTGCGCTCATATGACTACGACGGACGGGCCTGCGTGATGTGAATTTCACTGCCCAAGATCTTTGGTGTGCTGTAACGAGGGCTAATAAAATATCACCGCGAACTTCTGAACAAACGAGTTGAAGTTTCGTCTGTTATCATAACTGATCGCCTGTCACAATATTAATCAGTAGCGTTCCTAGACTCCGCCCCCAAAGACACCCTGCTTCGTTGCCCGATAGTGAGTGTCTCCTGGTACCTCGTAGAATTCCAGCTCTCACTTCAAGTAAGTACCATCCTTTAGAACTGGCAATTAATAGTTTCGAACCCAGACGCTCGCAGCGTGTGTGTGTGCCTGTGCGTGGAGGGAGGGAGGGGGGGGGGGGGGGGGGGGGGGGGACGCGTGCTAACATACTCGGAGCCCCCGTTTACGCCGTTTCGCAGCGGCAGACAAGGCGGCATATTACAAAAGAAAGCTAATCCGAGCTGTCTATGTAACTAGACCCATTCGCTAGTCATTCGATGAAACGTCGTGGTCTCGTTTTCATTCGCTAAAACGTCGTTCGATCAAGTGAACGCCTCCCATTTATTTCGGCTCGGCAGAGCCGCGCTGCCGCAGAAAGGCAAGCAGATCGCGAAAATCGGTCTCAAACGTGCCACGAATGCAATGTTGTATACAAGAAGTCACCAATCAAGCATCTGAAAGCTACAAGAAAGCGGTAGCGAAATATTTACTACGCAATGAACCCGGACTGAAACGCGGATGTCAAGGGTCAGCAGACACCGAGAACATTTAAGACAAGAAAGGTTTTCTCTTGTTTTCTCGATCGAGATGGGTTCTCGAATGTTCACGACATCTTATCTGTTGAAGAACCGGTCGCGAAGGCTTCTGGTGAAGACATCGTTCCCGATGTGCCGGTGCATTCGGACAGCCTGCCGCATCCAGCTCCCCAAAGCAACGCCGCCAACGCAGCCCCCACGGCCCCCCCTCCTGCCTGCCAGTTCTCTCCGCGTGGTTGCGCGAGCGTAGATGCACATGGCGGCGCCCTGGAACTGGCGCGGACACTCTTTGTGGCCGCATAACTGAAGGAGGACGCGTCGTCAGCTGCGAGGAAGCGGAGGTTCTTCTCCGAGACGTCGACCCCTATCGTCTCTGTGGAGGTGCGGTGCCGACGAAAAATAGGTCCCGCGAACAATGCCGGCAAAGTGTAAACAGATTGGAACTTATAGTGAGATCCCACCGCGTCGCAAAAATTAGAACCCGCGAATTATTTCGAAACTTTAGCTTCGACCTAAATCGCGGAATATTGAGTTTAACTAATAAAAAGTGAATTCATGTATAAATAACAGGGTTTGCTGTCACACGAGTTCTTTTGTCCAACAGTATTTACACAACAGATTTCTTTGAAATTGGCTTAACGAGACACATAATGGTGAATCAATAAAGGAAATTAAACCTTGGGGGCTAGCTACGCACGGTTTCAATACTCCTGTTAAAATGATTGCATGCCATTCTTGAGGCTTGAGTCGTGATTGTTTAAATGTCTAGGAAACATCAATATGATCCTGTCCCAATATTACAACTAGCCATTTATGCGCGCGAGTGAAGGACTTCTTGACCATTAAATAGCTTACCCTGTTTCTAATGAAAGACTCCTAACAAGCCCACCCACCATAAAAAAAAAAAAAAAAAAAAAAAGTAGCAGGAACCATTTGGTTTTGAAACGCCACCCAGGAAATTGAACCGGCGGTGTTCGCCTTCCACGTCGCGCATTTCTGCTTCGTACCCCGCGCAAAGCGAACACGGCCAGACGAATTGCAGCAATTTTGTGTCGCGTATTTCTTTTATAGGGTTCGGATCTAAATCGGCAAACATTTTGAGCCGAAAAGCTTCAACGAAGAGTGCTTAGTCGCGCAGCAAATGCAATGCGAGCTGCCCTGGCCACCCGCTTCATCGAGCCCATGTATTCGCGGCGCCCTCCCGAGCCGTTGACACGAAGTGCGGCCGCCGTCAGCGCGCGCTGAGCTCACTACCCCTTTTCTAGTTCACTTTAGTACAGATAGAGCTAGGATGGATGGATGGATGAATACGGCTGAGCCCTTTGGATCGGGCGGTAGCTTACGCCACCTAGCCATTTTGTTTTACCATTTAAGCTTAGAGTATTTAAATGTGAAATCTATATTCACTCCGCAGTGCAAAGAACGTGAGGCTGTGAAACCCCCTTGCCATCAGTGGATAAGAAAATACCTAGTTTTCTCTCGATTTCTGCCACCATTCACTTAATCTTTGCTTGGTAATCTCTACAGTCTTGAAATCCACTCTCCCTTCGCTGTCTCTAAAACCCAATGACTTTATTAAATCTATGTTGTCTTCGGTAGGCATAGGGTGAAGCCCTTTACAGTAGAGTATCAAGTGCTCAGCCAGCTCAGCCGTCTCGTCCTCCTCTCCACAAGCAGTGCACACTGTATCAATTTCCTGGTACTTCACTCTGTATGTTCTGGTTCGCAGAACACCCGTTCTTGCCTCAACCAGCAATGAGCTTCCCCTAGAATTGTCATAAATGCTTTCTTTGGCAATAACCACTGATCTCTATGACAATTGCTGGATCGCGCTTCCCCGCTTGTTCGCTGCAGCGCAAGTGAAGCCACCGGGCTTCACTCGCTTGGGATACGATTTGCCGTTTTTGCTAGCCTTTGCTGCGGTTTTCCAGCGTGCTGACGACACGTTTTCTACTCGTTCGTCGTCATTCGCCGAAGAAGTTTTTTGAAGACTCTGTGTATTGTTGAGACTTGCCGTTGTGAACACGTGGAAAATTTTACGAAAGTGCAGTGTCGCAGGAAAAAGGCACAACGCGTCGAAAGGAAGGGCTGGCGGCGTGTTCAAAGCTTCCTTGGCACGCCGAAGTGCCGTGTCTCTGTGCCTTCGCACGCTTGGATACCGACCAAGAACCGACGCCGTGTGTATGTGTTCAGCGAGTGCAATGTGCGTGAAGCTGTTCGTGCCTCTGGATCAGCGTCTTTTCCTCTCGCGGTTTAGGAACGAGCTTAATCCAGCGTCCACTAACGACGGAAGATGGGGAGAAGGTACGTCTTTTTTTCGTCCTTAGACGATTTACACAATACCGTGCACAACAGCTCCTCATCACTGATCAGTGCTGGCTTATTATCAAGCTACTTAATTGCACTTGACGTTTGAGCGCGGCTCGCCTAATTGTAATTTGTCAACAGATTGCACACGACCATATCGGCCGCGCTTCAAAGATTTTCATTCTCGCCGTCTTGTACTTTTGCTTTCGAAAACCCCCCTGGCTCCACAACGTTGCCCTATTCGTGCTCCCACGGAATCTATTAGAGTAGATTTGGGACATAGCCATGGTTAATATAGTACATAAGAACACGTACAGATCTCCCCCTTTTATTGATAGCAACTCACCGGAACAGCTGGACGATCCAGAACTCCGTGGCCGATATATATAAATGATCTAAAGGCATCTACGCGCGACACACGTTCAGAACTTTGGCGCGACGTCAATTCTTGACCGGTATCCAAGCGTGCGAAGGCACAAAGATGCATCACTCGGCGTGCCAAGGAAGCTTTGATCACGCCGCGACACCGGCGACACGTTTTCGACGAGTTGTACCTTTTGATACGGCTTCACGCACATTGCACTCGCTAAACACATTCACACGGCGTCGGTTCTTGGTCGGTATCCAAGCGCGCGAAGGCACAGAGACACGGCACTTCGGCGTGCCAAGGATGCTTTGAACACGCCGCCAGCCCTTCCTTTCGACGCGTTGTGCCTTTTTCCTGCGACACTGCACTTTCGTAAACTTTTCCACGTGTTCACAACGGCAAGTCTCAACAATACACAGAGTCTTCAAAAAACTTCTTCGGCGAATGACGACGAAAGAGTAGAAAACGTGTCGTCAGCACGCTGGAAAACCGCAGTAAAGGCTAGCAAAAACGGCAAATCGTATCCCAAGCGAGTGAGGCCCGGTGGCTTCACTTGCGGGAGCGGCAAGCGCGATCCAGCAATTGTCATTGAGATCAGTGGCAATAACTCTTTTGTTTAATCTATAGCTTTCCAGAGCCGTCTTTGTCTGCATTCCCTCTAGCCACCAATCTCTGTGTGACGTGTGACGAGCGCCAGCGCTCCCCTGGGTATTCACACGAGGGAGAAATCCCGGGGATTTCTCCCCGGCACGCGCGCATCACGAGATGAAAACGCGAGGCTTTTGCACATCGCAAAGCCTGACGTTTTCGTCGTGGCATGCGCGTTCCGGGGAGAAATCCCCGGGATTTCTCCCTCGTGTGAATACCCCTGGAGAGGGTGGCAACTCTTGTTATGAATGCCCACCGAAGGCAGCAGAGGGCGCTGGCTGTCGGGTGGGTGCTACCGCCCGATCCAAAGGGCTCAGCCGTATTCATCCATCCATCCATCCATGCTGCCGCAGCAGACAACGCGGCTTTCTAGCTTTGGAAGTGTACAAGCGGTTGCTCTTCTGCGTATATGTGATTGTTCTTCTGGTGCGCGCCCTTTTTTGTTCACCGAGCTACAGCGGCTGTTCTTGATGCCACTTCTGCAGGCATTGTCACCATAAAATGTCCAAGCCCAAGAGGCAGTGCAAAGAGAGAACATGTTTTGTCCCGCTGTGCACGAGTGGCTACCGTTCGAACAAGCAGCAAGTGTCTCTGTTCACGGCATTTGCCGACGCTACGCGGCTGGCGGAGTGGGAAAGGGCGATAAAAAGAGAAGACATGAGGTTGACATTAGCATCTGTCGTGTGTGAAAAACATTTCGAGGAGAGCTGCATTGAGCGCGCGTTCAAGGTGACGGTAAACGGCGTGGTGAATGAGATCGCTCGAGACAAACCACGTCTAAAGCCTGATGCTGTGCCAACATTGTTTGAGCAATATCCGAAGCATCTAGTGCCCAAGAAAGCACCAAAGAGAAAGGTGAGGAACCTTTGCTTACAGGAGCCGCCTCCACAAAGACGCAGAGAAAAATCCCATCCGCTGGACGGCGGTGTGATCGGCAACATTGCAACGGATGAAATTGAAAGTTCCGTTTGTTCTGACGATTCGGCCGCGTGTGCCAAACGCACCGAAAAGTTGGATTCACAGGGAGAGCCGGCATCACAGTCTCAAAGCGACAACCAGCCTGTACTACAGTCATCAACCGAGAGTGGCCATCCATTTAGTGGTATCTCGATTCCTGCAACATGGATGGAAGTTCCAAGTGTATCTAATGACTGTTTGTCCTACGCATCCTGCGAAGCCGGGGAAAATAATTTCGGAAACCTCTTCATTGAAAGAATGGTAATTTTTGGCAAGGCCTTGCCTGAGCGGGGGTCCATTTTAGCCACCGTGTATCTAAGAGGAAGGGAGCATAGCAAACAGGTGCTTGCAACCCGAAGTGAGGCAGAATTGTTGGTGAAGAAGATTTCCATGATGATCCTTTGCTGTGGCTGTGGCATGAAGCCAGTGTCAAACAAGTACTCCATGTACAGAAAAATGTTCTTTGCTGCTAGGTGCCTGTTAACAACTGAAACCGAAGGAGGTTCTTGCGCCCAGTGCAAATATCAACGAGTGCTTGCTCAGAACAAGATGAGCAGGTTGAGAAAGCAGAAGGGGTCCACATGTGAGAAAAGAAAACACCACAACACATCCCGCACTCTCACAAGAACAAAAAAGAAATTGGCTCGCGTGCAGGCACAAGTGGCTCAAATGAAAGAGGAAAATAAAACAATAAGCGAAGAGGCTCTTGAAGCGAGGATCCGGGCACTCCCTCAGAAACAGAAGCTTGCTGTCAAGAACTGCTTCACTGCTGCTCAACGGAAGTCGCTCAGAGGAATGACTTACGATGACGAATGGATTGTTGAGTGCATAATGATGCGGATGCGAAGTCCGAAACTTTATGAGCACTTACGTAAAGAAAAAGTCATGATCCTCCCAGGCCGAACCTGCCTTAAGAAATATCTGCAGCGCTTTGAAGGCGGTTTTGGTTTAAACCCAAAGGTGTATGCTGCTCTGGCTGAAAAAACGAAGGACATGGATGACTTCAGCTGCCATGGTGGTCTCGTAATCGACGAGTTGAAGTTATCAGAGCACCTTGATGTGAAATCTAATGGTGAGTTTCACTGTTGAGTCCAGAACCCTACTGAAATAATAGCGTATTGTTGCATTAGTCACATTGGTTTAATTTGAGGATGTCCAGTTCTAAAAGCTCATGAGTATGCTTGGTCTAAGCTGTGCATTCCGTTTTCTGAAGGCCAGCTCGCCTTGGCCTCAATTGATGCCTAGGCAAAAATTCACAAATGAAGATGTGTAAGAAAAAGTTAGGGACTAAATATATGGTATTCTTTATTTTATTTTTGCAATTCAGGTGGCATTGAGGGCTTCGTTGATCTTGGCGAGCAATCACCAAGTGACCAGAAAGGCATTCTGGCAGACCACGGCATGGTTGTACTTTTCCAGCCATTCACCGGTAAGCCGCATCAAATCTACGTTCCTTAGGGCTACGATTTAGGGACTGTTGCCAACACTACATCCATGTTATTTCTGATTGTGCCCGTTTTAGGGAACTGGACACAGATACTTGGTGTTTTTGCTGCGAGAGGCAATGTGAAGGCACCAACTCTTGCTAAGATCATCATAGAAACCACCATCCTTGCAGAACAAGCTGGCTTGGTTGTTAACACCGTAACATGTGATGGTGCCAGCTGGAATAGAAGCATGTGGCGACACTTTGGTGTACAAGGTAAGGGGGTCATGCAAACTTGCAGGGTGTAAAGGGAAGACGCGGGTTCCAAAATCGAAAAAAACCTGAAAAAAATATTGATTTTCTGGAACTGTTTTTTTCTACTTTATATGGTGCAATATATCACCCAGTAAAGTTCCTCTACATTGCTGGGTTGAGTAATGCCATGTTAGCGATAAAAAAGGCGCAGCTTTGGAGAATTTTAAATCGCGAATGGCATGGCGGATTTTCGCCTTCTTGGGCACGTTCGAAAGGACGCCTTTTACACTGCGCGGCGAAACATTAAAAATGTTGTAACTTGCAAACTGGCGGTCGGATATGCCCCAAACTTTGCACCGCCTAATCTAGTAACGAAGTAGAAAACTGGTGCAAATTTCAACAACCTATTTCTAGCATTTCAAAAGTTTCAAACCCATGTCCTCCGTCAAATTGTTATCACTTCTTTTGTTTTAGTCTCTGCAGATGGCCGCATCAAAAACAGCACACGGCATCCTGTGGACCCAACGAGGCAGCTCTTCTTCATTTCAGATTTTCCTCATTTAATTAAGAATGTTCGGAATGGATTTGTCGCAAAGGGCTATTTGACACCATCTGGTCATGTCCACAGTGGCGTAGTACAGGCAGCCTGGGACGTGGACCGTGACAATGTAACATTGAAGGCCATGCCTAGCATTACGCTTGCACATATCAAGCCTAACTGCTTTGAAAAGATGAAAGTAAATCTCGCTTTCCAGCTTTTCGGGGATGAAGTTATTAAGGGGCTCTTTGAATACAGGAAACACATTTTATCACGGTACAGAACAATGGAGCCAACAGAGGATTTCATTCGGCAGATGAACAAACTCATTCGTATTATGACAGCAAGGATGAGCGCCAGAGCATTGAAGCCTGGCAGTCCAAACGCAACGTTTTTACAGAAATTTTTAGTATATCTGAATGAGTGGGAGGCCCGCGCGAAGCCAGCTGGAGGAGGTTTTTTGACAGGAAGTACAGCTTCTGGGCTCAGGGTCACAATTAAAAGCACGCTTGACCTGCTATCTTACCTGAACTCTGTTGCAGGATTTACATACCTTTTAACTGCTCGTTTGAGCCAGGACAAACTAGAAAATCTCTTTGGGATAATCAGGCAATCCGCAGGCTGTAACGACCACCCAACCGTGTCACAGTTCTTAGTAACTGTCAACGTCTTGTCCTTTTACAACCTTGCGAGGTCACCAAAGGGAGGCAATTGCCCTCCTGCAGTCGTTAAATCGCTCTTGAGTACTGCAGATGTGCCCACTGTCACAGCGAAGTGTCTGTCGGACCAACTGGACCATTTTCTGGACAATGGAAACATTGATGAAGCAGAAGACGTTCTTCAGTCCATTCACCCAGAAAATGACCATGAAGGGTATTCTAACAAAAAAAGCAACGCGGCTTTGGTGTACTACGTTGCTGGCTATGTGTCTAGAAAAACGGTAGCTAAGAATGCATGCACGAGTTGCGCAGCCGAGTTGTGCGTGTCTCAAAAAAGAAGCGATGAATGATGTTAACTCTTATTTCACGGCTCATTTTGATAACGGTGGGCTTATTTATCCCACTGATAACCTGGCAAAGACAGTAGCAGCCATGGAGGATGCATTCACTAGCTTCTTCAGCAAGAACAGTGTGCATGAAAAGAGCATGCAAGAGTTTGCACGGAGCCTGCAGTCCTCGAAATTGCCTCAGATAGGGTGCCCCGAGCATGGAAAGAAAACCTTGGCAACTGTAGTGAAGTTCTATATTCTTTTAAGGTTTAGATTTTTCTTAAGGGGGGACACTACCCGGAAAAAAAAAAGATTCTTCAAAAAACATTGATTTTGAAAAATTGCATATTTACATCCATCTACATCCAGAGAGTATTCCCAGAAATTTTCACAAGTTAACACTGCATTGTTAATTTTTTATAAATTATTTTCTGTCCACCAAAGCTAAAGGAAAGGTAGGGGTTGGAGCACTTTGAACACATTTTTCTCCGTTCCACTTTTTTGTATAAATTTCATTTTAGTCAATCTATCGTTTGAGAATGGAAATACAGGCAAGGCTCGTTCTTCACTTTTCCTGACAGAAATTTAATAAGGAATGCGCCTATGGAGTTTGTTTGTCACTTTACGGATGTCTTTTATAAAAAAATGTTGACATTTTGTCGGAGACACAGAAGACAAAAAAGTTAACCAATTTTGCACAAGAGAAAATTGATAGAAATCAATTACTTTTTACAAAAACCTTTCCATAGGCACACCTCCTAGGCATTCTGCTACATATCTAGCGAATAAAAATCTTTAATATTGTGCTATTTTTCTGATGATAGATTAACTAAACAGTGTAGGGGTCCTGCTGATAGAAGCTGCCCTAATTTCCTTCCCACTTAACCGACAGACATAAAATTTTGTTATGCACCCTCTAGCATGACCACCAGCTTACCCTGTAAATTTCATTATTTTTAAGCCAAGGGTTCAAAAGTTGACCCTCCCAGGGGGTGTCTCCCCTTAAAAGGTTTGAACAGACCGCGAAGGCCAAAGGCAGCGACTGAAATATCTTAAGTTGCGCCACTGCCAATAGCTTTTCCTTGCTCAAATTGATGTTAGAAATTTTGAATGCAGGCTTTCATAATTTGTATTTTGTTCCTATTTTGTTGATTCCAATAAATGTCTTACATGCCTAATAAAGTAAAACGTGAAACTATTTCGAGTCCCGTTATTTTTCTCTTCGCGATTATTATTTAATGTTCTACCACAGAAAACTGGAATGGACAGGCTAACAACTGCCACCGGCATGGGCACATCACCAGCCAGTTCCAAAAAAAAAAGAAAAAAGCACGAAAGAAAAAAAAAAAACCAAGCGCAACCTGATGCCACAACACCGCTCAAGTACCTGCAGTAAATGCAAAAACAAAAATACCCGGATAACGCTACCAGCTGAACGGTGCCGGCAAGAACTGCTAACTACGCCTGAGAAAAACATTCCTCGCAACCTGACACTAACACTTAAAAATACGGCCCAGCGACGCCTTGCTCACGACGCGCGATAGGAAACCTGACAAGCGAGCGGACCGGCAGCACCCACCCTTACAGCAGCGCCCCTGCGCGGCCGCCGATGACATTCATAGCTCTCCGTGCCACCCCAGCGGGAGCGCTCGGTAGGCACTGTAGTACAGATAAGAGATAAGAAGTGTGTTCAATTTGAGCTTTTCAATGGCGCCTCCGAGTTCTACCTCGCATACCCAGGCGTATTAAGAAAACAGTAATTGAAAAAAAGTTATATTTCGTTTATGGATGCACAAAACAAACTTCCTGGCCAGCAACACTAATATAAAGCTGCGAGCTCGATGTACGCATATACTTATTGGTTGTTAGAGCTTGTTGACTCGTACACAAGGAAGATCCCCAAGCTTCGCAGCGTCGAGATTCCCAGCACTGACTCGTTCGCATACCTCGGAACGCTAACAGAAAGGCTCAAGTACAAAAATGCAACAAGCATGTGTTAAGACGAGCTATACATCTCGCTCTGTGCTAAAGCTTCGAAGTCTAGC